TGAAAAAAAAAACTTTTTTAGATCATAATATAAGAATTTCTCAAAAAAATTTTTTGTCGTCGTTTGATTGACAATGCAAACGAGTGCGTAATATCCTTGTTACTTCTCTGGTACGCGCGATTCCATTACGTAAGCTTTATCCGCGAAATCGCTGATAACGCGCTGCGACGCGAAAGCGACGGCAGGACAGATCGACGTATTGATTTGATTTTTCGTTTGTCGGCGGCTTCGCCGGGCACGGCGATGTCGGCGATGTTGTCGCGATCGTTATTTCGCGGCTAATACGTAACTAACGAGTGGTCGTTATTCTCGACGATAAGATCGATCGATCGCCCATTCGTGTTTCAATTCGAGCTCGCGTGTCATCCGTGAAATACGTACAAAATGTCGCGGGCCAGGTTTTCCTTTGTGCTTTCACCGCGGATGTATGCCTCGAGATAACGCGAGATTATTATTTTACGTTATTATCTAATATCAGATTTTTTCGTGGAAACGCAACGATCAGGTCTTCAGATCGAGCGTAACTTTCGTCTTTTTAAGAGATCTTTATAGATTTCGAAAATTGAAGATATACGTATTGTAAAAATGACGATTTCGCACCGTGTTACATTCGGTACGAGAGATTACGATTCCGATTGTAAAATTAAAAATTTTTAAGAACTGTTCTTTTTCTCTCTCTCCAAGTAGATCGATTGTTTGTGTTTCAGAAGGCAGGAGCTCGCTCTGCGTTGGCTGCGGCGGTCGAATTCACGACCAGTGGATCTTGAGGGTAGCGCCTAATCTGGAATGGCACGCGGCGTGTTTGAAATGTGCCGAGTGTCAACAGTTCCTGGACGAGAAATGCACCTGTTTCGTGCGGGACGGCAAAACTTACTGCAAGCGCGATTACGTTAGGTAAGTCACGTCGACGCGTTTCTTTGAAAGAAACTTCACGTTGGAAAGTCGGACAAGGGAAACTTCCTTTGACCGTGATTGTTCAACCCTAGTCGAAAAAAAAAGGAAAGAAAAAACAAGAAAGGATCTTCGACGAGGAACGAACACCACGAGCGTTCGATTTTTCGACACGGGGTGCATTTAAAGGAACGAGGAAAGATCTTCGGGCGTTGCGTTCGACGCCGAAACGTGATTAATTCTTCGCGATTACGAGAGCGACGAAATACGCGCGATGACGTGGGTACGCGTCAAGCGGACGCCGCTCTCATCGTCCGACGGTTAAGTGTCGCTCCTTAACGAACGAATTCCACGAAGAGGTGGAACGAGAGAGGCACTCTGGAAAAGAGAGAGAGAGAGAGACTCCGGGCCTCACGATCGCGGTGCAATATGGTAATTAATGCAAAACCGTGCCTCTTGTCACTGCGACCGCTACATTCTCTGGCGACACGCGATACGCTCTTTCCGATACGCATTTGCAAACGCTTGGGATCGGGAGGCGAGCAAGAGGGAAAAGAATAAAAGAAAAAAGGAGGGACAGAGAAGAAGAAAGAGAGAGAGAGAGAGAGAGAGAGAGAGAGAGAGAGAGAGAGAGAGAGAGAAATGGTCGAGAGGCAGAGATTGGGGAAGGAGAGGGCGACACACAGAGCCGAGAAAGTCCGGAGTATTTTTATCCGAGGTATACACGTGGAGAACGCACGCACACACGTATTATATGCGTAACGCGTACGTATGCCCACATTGCACCGTCACTGTCACGACGTTGCATGCGCTGGCGCGTGCAAAAAGAAGGTGCGCGCAACTATACTATATGCTCGCGCGAGCGAAAGAACTCGCCGGGAGTTTAAGCTCACGAGTCAACGCCGACGAGGCGATGCGTGGCATTGATCGACACCACCCTGGCACACGGTGACGGTTATTACTGACGCTGCGGTTGAAACAGTCGATCCATTCGCGATAGCCGCATAGACGCATGCCAGGGTGTGACACAGCCGATATACACGAGAAACCGCCGGAAGTCTCGTCGATTCTATATCGCGGTATAAAACTGCGAAAAATATCTTTCGACAGCTACGGGGTTACGTAACCCTGGGGTTAAGCAGCTTTTGCCGACTTAAAGTCTCGAAAATATGAGTGAAGACTTTATATGTATATGAAGTTTTTTTTTCATTAATCTTCCCAGAGGCAGACGTAAAATTATAACTTTGCATCGGTGATGTTCAGATTGCTGAGACTCAGATATTTTAATAAGAAGTTTCTCTCTCTCTCTCTCTCTCTCTCTCTCTCTCTCTCTTTCTCTTATTCAGATCTTGAAAATATATTCTCGTTACGTTTGACGACTTACAAAGTAACTTGCTTAAGTAAGTACTTTAAATTGCCGCTTGACAATTTTTTTTAGAGAATAAAGCATGAGCGTCGTCAAGATATTTAATACGAAATGCTCGTTAAACGAAACGTCTATTATCAGATTATTTTTCTTGAAGGATGTATTGTTCGATAATAATCTATTCCTTTTCTATTATTGGTTTTCTGTTCTCCGATGATGACAGAATGACGGACGTGCCTTAATAACGAATCTATAATCGAATCAATTATCATAATTGATTTTGCAATGCTTACATTCAATTTGGTGCGCGGTAACATTAAATTAATTGAAGTTGCTGTACACGTTTCGTTGTTATGTCACTTGCGGCGTGACAGAAATAGGGACGGGAATGTGCCAGAAGTGAAAAAGGCGCATCTCTCGCACGCGCGGAGATTTTTCTTTCTTTCTCGAGTTTTTTTTTTCTTTCACCGTCCACACGACGGTAATGCCGCCAAATAACCCATCGGCACGAATTCGACCTGGACCAAATATTTTTCCGTGTCGAGGCAGCGGGTTTATTTGCGCTGATCCGTCGAATGTCGGGACGTCGCCGTAACACGAAGAAGACTGGCGTATCCGGCCGCGGACTCGAGCGACAGCGATGACGGGCGTTTGTTGTTGCTGTCGCTTTCGTTCAAAAGTCCAAATTACCAAAGTAACTCCCTCCTCATACGTTCTCTTCTGGGTGTTCCCGACGGCGGCCATTTCCGGCAGACAAACGCTAACAATCGCGAAAGTGCCACGATTGTTACATAAAAAATAATCACGCAGTCGAATATGCCAAAATTCGCTGTAGTATGATTTACATACTGTATTGTGTATACAATTATGTACTTATATAATATATTATATTATGTATATATATATTAATATAAATTCAATAATTATATATGTATATTTCTTATACATTTATAATATAACTTTATATATAATTATATACATTAATATATAATTTATATGTAATTTATTATTTGGAAAGATATAAATTATATGCAATTTATATATTTTTAAACTGCAGGTGATGTTTCGAAGTTGGAATGTTGATTCTTTTAATTGGTCTATTTTGCAAAAGTAGAGAATAAAGTTATAAGATGAACATACGATTTTGCTTTGATTATGGTACGCCGCGGGAACGCGAATAATCGTTTGCACGCGTACAAGATGCACCGGCACATCTCTTCATGCGCATAGAGAAAGTTCGACTTTGAAAAATAAGCGGTAGCGATGGTAACAATAGAAATGTCTATTATATATCAACGTGATCGTCAATTACGCGACCGGCAACCATTAATTCCGCGTTACACCGCCATCAATTTCATTCACATTACCGCATTTTTTCCAATTTCAACGATGTACATTGGACATTTCATTATATCCTGGTGCTGCACATATTAGCGCACGGTTTATTTATTGAATTTATATATATGTACATATACTATATACATATGTATGTGGATAAAAAAGTTGGACCTCAATGTACCGCGTACAGAAATAAATATATGACGCGACAATAAAGTCACTTCAGCTCGATTTATGTTCCTCCACTTTGCATTTATCGGATTTAGAACAGACTTTTTTATTTTGTCAACTGAAAATGTTTAAAACTTCGTGATGTAATAAAATAGGAAACAAAGAATGGAGATTTATAAAAAAAACATGAATAAGTTGAAGTTATATATGATTCATTCTCGATATTAGATTGGCATTGATACAAACGTTTTAGCAGTTAGCAGTTATTTCACAATGAGAAATGTGAATAAACAATTATTAATAATTTGCCAGAATTAATATTGACTAATTTTGAATTTTCATTTAAGTATATGTATCAATATAAAAAATTAATCAAAGATTAATGCTTAATGATTCTTGTATTTTCTCAATTATTTAACATAAAATAATGAAACATTTTTTATTCATGACGTTTTAAATATCTGTAATACTTATAGATCGTAATGCGCTAGATATCAAGAAAATCAATTAGAAAAGATGCACAGATCTGTGAATTTGAGAATAAAAATTGTTTAAGAATATTAAACAATCTTCATTCTCTGCATGATCTTATAATTTTGCTATTAAGTTTTGAAGGAAAAAATTAGTACATTAAACAAAAAATCCTTGCAGAATTGTGTAATTTTTTTAAAAATATATTTACACGGAAATTTTTCTGTTTTCTGACTACGTTTGTTTCAATAGAAAAATGTTCTTGATTTTTCGAGCATTCTTCTTTCATTTCGTTAAATTTTTTCATAATCCACAAAATTTAATTCAAGCTTTATTCGCAGTTTTTCTATTTGGGAAGTCGCGCTTTGCGAGCTCGTCATGTTCGTCATTGCATATGTAAAAACTACATCTCTTTTTCTTTCATATATGTGTTACAGGTTGTTCGGTACGAAGTGCGACAAGTGTAGCCAGTGTTTTAGCAAAAATGACTATGTGATGAGAGCGAAAACTAAAATCTATCACGTGGAGTGTTTTCGTTGTTCCGCCTGCATGAGGCGGCTCGAGACCGGCGATGAGTTCGCTCTGAGGCAGGACGGCCTTTTTTGCCGGCACGATCACGATGTCCTCGAGGGCGGAAAGCACTGCACCGGAACCGCTGGTATACCCGGAAGCGAGAATAACAATAACGCCTCCCTGACGAACAACAATCACCATCTGCACCCGAACGACGGCTCGATGTCAGGTGAGCGCATTCGGTCACACGCCGAAAACTTGAACTCCTTTCGTTTTTCCTCTTTTCTTCGCGCGCGTTACACACACTCGACACGTTTCGAAGATGTTGCGAAGATGTGGGCGTCATTGAAAAATCGCAAAAGCTCTCCCCGAGGTTTTTCGAAGAAAGGGAAAAGAGAGAGGAACAGTAACCGCGCCGCGCTTCTGAATTTAGACGTCGCGTTCATCATAAAGTCTACTTTCGTATACAAGTCTCTCGTTATTTCCGTTCTCCTCCCCGTCAGTTATCCTTAATTGAGCAGCGTTATCGAGATTCTGCGATTAAATTATCTCGCGCCCGGTGCGAAATGGGGAAATCCGGCTTCTGACGTGCGTCAGAACGACGGGCTACATCTGTGGATTATCAGGCACAAGTCTATCCACGTGTGTTTCCAAAGACCAAATTTACAAAAGGGTGCCCCGCTCGAGGGTATAAGCTCAAAGGACTCTCCTATGTTGTGTTAGGCTCACGACGTATAATTAGGTGTTGATAATTGAAGCCGTTAAGACCGTAAAGGCTTGACCACTACCCCTCTACACGTCAGGATTACGTGGGCTTAATGTCCTGTAGCCCGGCATAACGCGCGTACGTAGTACCTACGTCCGACCGGCTGGACTGCCACCGAGCGAATTAACTCAATTGAGCCGGGAGCCCGAAATTCAGACGCTAAATCTAAACCGTTATATGTAAGACAGCAGTCCCGGGATTGCACCGGGGCAGCAATTGGGTTTCGGGAGGAAAGGACGATCCGACGAATAATCAATGCTGGAGTTAATGCCAGACGCGTTCGGTTATTAACTCTTTTGACACCTCCGAGTTGAAAGGCAGTCGCAATTACAACTCGCTAATTTACCAAATCGGTTAGTATGTCAATGACAAAGGATTAAGTAAACGTCGGCGAAATCATGCTATCCAAGAATTACGCTTTAAAATACGATACCAGCGCGTCGGGATATTAAACGAAAAAAATTGCGATAAAATAATCTTAAAAATGAGATTTGAGACATTTACATTATACATTTGATGTCAAACAGCACGCGTGATTTCTTTTCTCACTGATACAAAGAGAAGAAATGGATAAATTTTTTTAAATACAATAATCGAGATGCGGAAGGAGAAACCGTGACGCGTGCACGACGTGATCGCGGGCTACCGTTTTTCTCCCGTGTAAATCCCCTCTCCGCGCTTTCTTCCCTCTCAAAATGCAAAGGACAAACGTCGGCATAATTACCCGATATACTAATTTTCGTGCAAATAACCCGTGTGCGGCAGCGTGTGCGCACGTCGTCCCGTGTTTGTCATTGTGATTCGTCATTGGAGATCCGTCGCGCGTGAAACGTCGTTCTCCCTATACGCACGAAAAAGTTTGGACCACCTTGTGCCGACGGTAGTGGCCCGACGTGTCTTCGGAGCGCTGCCGAGGTGCCAAATGTAACACCACCCTGCCAACTACTGTCGCGCATAACTACGCACGATCTGTTTCCTCTTATTCGTATCTTCTTTATTAGCGCGCCGGGGATATCCCGCTGAGGGAACGGGGCATCCGAGTGTGATACACGAACGTGTCGCCGAGTTATTAATAGCCCTCGAATTACCAATAAACTCTAATAAACTGCATATTAAATAAGCTCTCGGATCTACGCGAAATAACAATCGTTTTTTTTTCTGGTATCATGTGATCTGCACGATTCGCGCGACTATTCTTGTTCTATAAACATTTAAAATAAAATGTCTTGGATGTCTTTTCGTATACAGTTTATTTATAATACCTAAGAGAAAGATATAATTCTCATGACTCTTCAAAATAATAAATGGTAAATCCTGTATCTAATCTGATCTTAAATCTTATCTTTTTTTTTCAATTCTGTGAATTTATGTCCCGCGATTATATGAACACTCGCCGCGCTCTGTAGGCGTTAAGAGGATCAGATTTATTAGGACACAGATTATTTACGTGTAAAGAAACAAATTTTCGACGCGGTCGTTTGAGCACGTACACGCTATCAAATAGTCAAACGTCGGTCGATCTTGAAAAGATCAATTGAATATTTGAATTGAGAAGAAGAAATTTAGCTTCTTGCCAGATGACAGTCGAGATAACTTCCCCCTCGTCAAACTGAGGCGTCTCTTCGCGCATTACTCTTTCACTCTTTTCGCGGAAGGTACTTTCCAATCTAGCAGTATGATAGCTATACACGATCCTATACACCGATCGTTTTTCGAAGGTCGAGAGTCTATTCACTCTTCTTATCGTCGTGCCGCCGTGTCAACGCCGGTTTCTCATTCCCGCTTATGCCAACCGAGACCGCTATTTGGTTAGGACACAGAAATAGGATTTCGTTTGTTCTCTTATAGTGTACTCTCGTTGACTTTCCGTCTCTTCCTCGCTGGCGGACCTACTAGATTTCGAACGACGCGACGCCTAAAGCGTCGACGTTATATTATAGAATGCAGCGGGTGAAACGATCGATCAAAATTATAATTGTTATCTCAGCTGCCTCCGAATGACGTGGAATGATTTTAAATGACTTCTGTTATACACTTCATTTTCTCGTTCTTATTACATCGCGAGGGCTTCTTCTCTCTCAACACGCATTCTGTATCGTTTAGAATGTTTAGATCGAATGTTTAGGCAAAGATCGAGGTGCTCGCAAAGATATTTGAAACTTTACTTTTGATTTATTAGACAGAATTTAATAAAATAATTAAAAATTTTGCTAAAGTGTATGTTATATTTAAAAAATCGATAATCACAAATAAATCAGGCACCAAAAGAGTCATATATTATATTTCTTTTTTTAATATCATTAATTTTTTAAATAATATCAATTTTTTAATATTATTTATTTGATATGCTATCTTGCTTGTAACAATCATTTCAATCACGAAAGTTGATGAGGAGACTTACATTTTTTACTGTCTTCCCTTTTTTTTTTTAAAATAAATCTCAGATGCCTTCAAGGAAAAACGACTACGAGACAGACGGGAAGATTAAACAGCGCAATACTTTTTGACAAAAAGAGGAAAGTCTCTGCCACCTTTTGCAAATAAAACATCACCGTGTTCGCGCGACCGTGGCTCTGCGCGAGTCACGAATGTTTCGCGCTTAAACGTTCCGCGATTCCAAGGTCGCTCGGGCTGATCAAGGAATCGCACGAGCACGGGATCCGCGTTTGCCCATCGACAATATTGTCTCTTTGACTGTTGTGTCGAGCGCCGCGCCGGTCCGCAAGGCGATCGCGTCGGTACCTTTTGCTTCGCTCCCCCCCGCGTTGGTCCGCCATGCTGAACCAGTATCCGGATCTCCCATTAGCCGGACTTCGGACCGTTTTGCAAGACCGGTTAGGAAGATAGTCCGGAATCGTATCGCGCCCGTTCCCTTCTTCCGTACCTTGTACCCGGGACGCCTCGTCGCGCGCGACTCTCTCGCGGGATAAATCTTCTCGGGAGGCGGGGTAAGACCCCGCGGGCAACCGCACACCCGCCCTTTGTAACTGTCGAGAGAAAAACGTTAACGAAGAATCCGGAAGAGTCGGCGAAAGATTTATACAAACGCCTCTCGCGAAACGCCGCGTTTCTCTCCCATTCTCGCGATCTCGCGGTTCGAGGGCAATTCGCGCGCTTACGTCAGTTTATTGCTACCATAAAAATGACAACATCTCTTCCTCAAGTCTGCCTATTAGATTAACTAATTAGCTTTGCGTGAAAAAACATTCCCTCGCGTTAATGCGCCTATTTTTTTCCCCCGCGAACTATTAATACCTACTTACGCAAACCGCGAAACAGTGATTCGATCAATACTACTTTAAATGTACACATTTATTTTTCTTATTTATACGTTATCATTCTGCAATTTAGTTTTCTTCGAGAATAAATAGTATCTCGCTTCCTTTAAAACGCGCTCTTCAAAATGTCCCGTAATCCGTATTGTTTATATTTGCATAATTCATACATTTTACATCTGGAACACGTACTCGTTTAGCCCCGGTTTACGGCCACCGCGTGGGAGGACTCTCGACGTTTATGCTTGCAGATTCCGGATCTGAGAGCGGATCGCACAAGGCGGGCGTCGGCGGCGTTCGTGGTTCCGGTGGCCACAAAAGTGGCGGCGGTTCCGACGGCAAGCCGACGAGGGTGCGCACGGTTCTCAACGAGAAGCAGTTGCACACCCTGAGAACCTGCTACGCGGCGAACCCTCGGCCGGACGCCCTGATGAAGGAGCAGCTCGTCGAAATGACGGGGCTGAGTCCGCGCGTGATCAGGGTGTGGTTCCAGAACAAGAGGTGCAAAGACAAGAAGAAGACGATAGCTATGAAGCAGCAAATGCAGGAGAAGGTAACGAGCTATACGACATCGCCGATATCGATTCCCGTATCGGACTGCGCATTGAGGATTAAAGATCGCGAAATAGAGATTTAAAATTCGAATAATCAAAACAAAGCGGATTAAGATTTAAATTTATTTCATTGATCAAATTCTAATCTCCGGCTCGCAATTGCCAATTTTCCAATGCCATAGTCTGGTATGGGCTTAACGGGAAATTATATCGTTTCGATGAATGCCAAATCAATCATTGAATTACCTAATTCAATTTAATAAATTTATAACGAATAAATGTATTAATGAATATATTCTCTCTAGCTTGCGTTTGAGAAGCAGAATTGCTGCGTTAATAACGTTTATCTAATTTCTGGTGATAATAACTGTGACCGCAGAGTTGCACTTATTCGATGATCGCATTTAGAGAAGACAAAACAGTTTTAGCAACTATAATGTCATAATTTTGAAATTCAAGATACTTTTGCTGATTTAAAATCGCAAAAATATATAGAATTGAAAATATAATCACAAAAATAATTGTGACATTAACGTAATTCTCGTCATTTAAATGTAACTTTTAAATTAAGTAACAGTGAAATAGCGGAGTCACGATAGTAATGATAACAAATATAGTTATATAAATTTTATACACTAAACTGTGACAATTACATTTCTGTTTAAATTAAACTTTCGTTTTAAACGAGTCATTGTCATAATAATACATTTTTCGTTATCAATGATATACTTTTGTTAATATAAGCATTTTACGTTACTACATTTTACTATTTTTTTGTATGTCATCCTTTCATATTTACTATAAATAATTATCATCACTATGTTTTCTTAATTCAATTATAATTATAATTAATCAATTAAATACAATTTATTAATTTTTCTAACATAATTTTATAACACAGGTGAAATGCTATTTTTTCTCAATTTTTTATTTACTGGTGTTACTTTTTTTCTGTAGAGTTAGATGAATTCTCATATTAATTCTCTCTCTTTGCCATTAACTTTGTGAGCTATATAAATCGAATAAATGAATACGTAAGGTAATTAATTTGAAATGTTTCCTTCAAATGTTTGGAAAGAAAGGCATCTTTTAGAAAAAAGATGTTTTTAGATAAAGTTGCTTGATTTTTAGAGGAAAACAATTATGCTATCCACAGGTGTTGATGTTAAAATCACGTTAAGGAAATTCCACTTTGGAATTTTTAAGTGGAAATTCCCATTTTTTATTGTATAATCTTATAATTGACGTCAAGATGTTTTCAAAACGCTGGTTTAAAATCTCATTTAAGTAAAAACTTGCCGCGTTAAGATTTGTCAATGTTTAAGGATTTGCATACCATTTTAAATGCCTACCTAAATTATCTTAAAAGAAACACAATATCTAAACAAATGTTTCAAATAAAAGTTGTTTGGTTATGAATAATTTTGGAAAGTGTTAAGGAAAGTGTCAAACCAAATGTGAAATGTAAATTAACTTAATTTTTTGAAATATAAATCTATACTTTTTATTACATATTTACATGGCCGATGACAAATCTAATTCTAAGAACTCAACATTATTTCCTTAAGCAGTCCACATATGTTTTATTTTGTAAGCTTGTTTCGACCGCAGAATTTTCATATGAAACAAATGTTGTCACGAGTTGACAGCTCTGGACGCTATTATTGGACTAAAAATCTAATCTACGGAAAAAAGACACGAATTAAAATTAATTCTTTTCGTTCTTGGTATAAAATTGAATGCTCAGATATATATTTATGCATACACTCTCTTTAACTATGAAAAAGAGATGCTAAATCTGTCCAGATAACAGAAAAGAAAAATTTTTTATTCGAAAAAACATTCAGTTGATAAAATAGACGACTTTCGAATCCGCTTAATCTTTAGGTTCTTCAAAACAGTTCGACATTTTTCTCAACAGTATATAGTTTCTTTTAAGATAATTTAGGTAGGCATTTAAAATAATGTGGCTTACACCTTGAAACTTTAATAGCTCTTAACTCAGAAAGTTTTTACTCAAATGGGGGCTTAAAAGCAGCGTTTTGAAATGTTTCGACGTCAGCTAGAGGAATAAAAAATGGGGATTTCCCACTAAAAATTTCAAACTTACATTACTGTGACCGTATCTGTAGATAAATAGACACAACTTCTTCTACCTTCAAAATCAAACAACTTTTATCTGAAATATTTTTTAAATACCTTTCCAGATATTCGGAGTGGACATTTGAAATGGATCATTCTGTATAACGAGACCGTATAACGAGACCGCTATCTCGATGAATGATCTAATGGAACCAAGCACTTTTTATTTCAGGACGGGCGTAAATTGGGCTTCGGCGGTATGCATGGCATACCGATGGTTGCCAGCAGCCCCGTGAGACACGAGAGTCCTATCGGTATGACGCCTCTGGAAGTTCAGGCTTATCACCCGCCGTGGAAGGCGCTTTCGGATTTCGCGCTTCATACGGACTTGGACCGACTGGATCCTAACGCGCCGTCGTTCCACCATTTAGTGTCTCAGGTAACGTGTCATGTTCAAAGCATTTAACTTCTCGTTTTTGCGAAGATCGCCGAGAGAGCGACTATAGCCTCGCACGGCGACTTTCGCGAGTAAGATTTTATCGAGAGGAAATATCTTTTTGCGAATATAAGTAGAATAAATACGAATGCAAGAGAATGATATATATTCATACATAGAATTGCCAGGAATTGTCTTTATTACTAGGAAAATCGAGCTCTGTCATTGTGTCAATAATTGCAGATGCACGGCTATGATCTGCACGGGGGACCACCGGCGCAATTGGCACCCCCGTCGGGGATGCTCGGCGGACCGATGAGCGACGGCGGGGGCGGACCGCTGCCGCCCCCGGGGCCCCATCATCCGGGCGGTGGCGGGCCGGACATGGGCCAGCATCCCGACAGCACCGACAGCTACGTGACCTACGTCGAGAGTGACAGTGACTCGTTTCACCACGATACGGGAAGTCCATAGTGTCGTGCGAGGCACGAACTGAAAAAACCCACCATGACCCCGTCGTCCTTCGCTTTCGTAGCGACCCTCGTCGTGGTGCTCGCCATAACGGCGAGATGCCTGCAACGGCGGATATGAAGTGTGGCCGAACGGAACCGGGGAACACGCGGACCGTGGATACAGGAGGAACGACTCTCAGATACCAAAGGACTCCATCGATCTTTCGACGATAATCAAAAACCGCTCTACTACCAAAAGTGGCTAGGAAAACGACAATGACGAAATACAAATACGTTGGAAACGACGCGGGCGGCGAAGGAAGAAGAGGGGGGGGGGGAACAATGTCGCTGTCTTGGACGTACATAAATAATGTATTTTCGCTTCAGTTTTGATTTCGTTGAAATGTGTCACCGTGAGACGTTTTGCGAGAAACAACTGTCTAATCATTGAGCGTACAAAAAGTTTCGAGAACCTTGAAACAAGTTTGAAGAGTCTTGAACAGTCCTGTATATTGTCAGCTTATTGATATATAAAATCGATTCTGGCCAGACCGAGCGTTATGTTATTTCGATTCCCATCATTTTGGCTTCTGATAAAACATGACGTTTCCGCGTTTGCCTCTATCGTTTTTCTTTTCTTGCGTATTTTCACTGTATTACCGGACAACAATGGAAATTTGCTGCCTATGTAAAATGTCATAATATCAATTACGCTGGAGACTTGTAAACGGCTTGTACGCGTGTGTCGTTAACTGCCTGTATATATAAAAGAAGGGGGACGCGATTCGATATCCAGTAAATCCAGTACTGGAGATACACTGTACATAGTTGCTACTCGCTGTAAATCTAAGCAAATGTTAAATCATGATGTACTCAGGCGCAAGTTGTAGCGTAGAATATGAATAATGGAATATATATATATACAGATATATGTAGGCACGCTAAATTTACATTGATAATTACATTATTCCAGTTATGTTAAGTTTCGTAAACGGCAGAGATATGCTCGCAAAAAAGGATTACAAATGCCACATAATGTTTCCATTTAACCATCCGCGGCGAGAAAGTTGCCGTTATCGTCGTTGATATTTCTGCGTTATCTCAAAGTTTGTACGGAAAGATGACTTTGTATTTGTACGACACACGCCTTGATTTGTTAAGAGATGGATTACGCTTAGTTACCGAAGAAGCACAAGGGAGCGGTGTGCTCCTTCGTTTATATCGAATATAAGAAAATTACATTTCAATGAATCGTGCAATCGATATCGCTTAGCAAGAAGCGAGCCGAAAGAGAATTAAGAAAAAAGAGATTAATAGGAATTAATCATATATAATATATATATATATGTATATATTATAATATATATAATATATTCCAATGATATTTTTATCAGAAATTTACATTTGATTTCTATTATATATATTATATGTAATATATATACATTATATGTTATATAGTCGTGAAAGATTAAAAATTCATTTAATTTTTAGTGTATAGAGGAAAGTCACCGATACTAACGTAGATTTTGTAAAAAAACACCCGTTTATTTCTCGGAAACTTCTCGGAACTGAACGTTTCCAAAAAATGTCTCAGGAACTTGCACTTTATTAATATTGACGAAAACGTAATATGTTTAGACAATTAAAGAGGTAAAAACTCATATTATTCATATATTATAATTTTTGAGTCTATACATAAAATCAGTTAAAAACAAATTCTGCAAATGCGAACTAGCATTTCTTCACACAATTTTCTTTCACAAATTGTGTAGTTTAAATAATATTGAATATATTATTGTTAATTTTAGATTTGTTAAACATATTTTAAGTTTTCTAAAATTGTGTTATATATTAAATATAAAGTAAACTATGTTTTATTAATATTTTTCTCTTTTTATTTGGCACATTTTAACTGGCGCATATTTGCTTATTTTACGAAAATGTTGGATATTGAAAAATTTTAAACAGTATTAAAACAACTAAAGTTATCTAGATAAATGACACTTTTTTGTATTTATGAGTTGTTTTAGAGTTTTATTTTTAACTTTTACTTAATAAATATAATTTAAAAGCAAAGTGGTATGACGGTAACCTTTCTCTATACACAAATATATAATAGAAATTTATGTGTAATTTCCATATGTTACATATTAAATTTCTACTCTTTGAAACAATGAATTAGTCTCAAGATCGTTAAATTCGCTATTATTTTTCTTCCTGTTTTTAAGCAAATGTACATACTTCGCGATGCGTAAATGGGAATTAAAAACTTAATTTAAAAGAAACTAATGAATTTCGAAGATTAGGTTTTGAATTTTGTAAAAAAAAATTTAGATTCGTACGGACAGATTTTTGCGTCAAATCGTGTCATTTGTATAAATCTGTTTCACCTTTTGCACGAAACAATTACAAATAAGGACTGGTATTCATTGAATACGGATAATTTTGGAATTATTTGGAAATATTACCGTTTCAGTTTCTCGCGACATTGAATGTAGCTTTTCATGATTTTCTGCGGCTGCGACTGAAAAATAAATGAAATAGGGACTCGAAATACTGCGCGTTACTTTCGCAAGCTACTTTCTAGTCTCGCGTCTCAGAATTATTGTTTCCTAATATTTTTGGGAATAAACGACGAGCGTTCGTTACAAGCACTTTCCGATACTAGAGTCTGTTTTAGGTGAGACGGAAGGCGCAATGAATTGTGTATAACATTGATTATATTATTAATTAGCTATTTATTTAGCGGGAGCAGCGATGAAAATTCGCCACGCAGCACACGCGTGGCCAAGCCTTTCCGAGTATATAGGACCCGTTGTATACACCGCTCTCTTGTACGTAATATGGTTAAAAAAAAAAGAGAAAGGAGAGAGAGATCATGTAAATCTAATATTTCGTAATTCGTTCAAGCATCTTCGAATTTGTATGATATTTCTATACTGGCACAATGTATGTAATAAACTGTCGAACAAAAACACTTCGCTGAGATTTCCTTACTTCGAGCGCTTGTACAATTATATTAGTTATTTGAGAAACGTACATTTCGGAAATTTTTTATCTAAAAATTACTTAGAGGCTCATTAATTGTTCTTAAAAATCTAGACAAAGTGAAAACTTGCAAAAGCGCGTTTCTACGAGATTCTAATTAATTCTTCTAAAAAAAGAGAATCAATGGATTTAATGATAAAAAGTAACTGCATTAATTAGTTGTTAAATAATCTCGATATATCGATCTCATTTCAATTGTTTAATATTAATTGTGAAAAGAAATCAAATTCATATGTACAGGAGCGTGGGAAAATAGTTAATTAAAATTGAAAAGTGTTCGTGTCCATTGTTCAAACAATTATCGAAAGAGAGACAAGAATCATTTCTCTACGAAAAAGAGAGCTAATTTATAGATCTGAACGCATTAACTATAAACATTTTTCATGAATAATAATCGATCGACGACATATTTACATACTTGACGATTGCAGTCCGTATAATATCTGCGTTGCGGTCCCGCAAAAATCTCCGTCGATCGACTCCGAATCTGCAGACGAGGATTAGCTGCCGTCAGGATCTATCCAAATCGATTTGCAGAACTTGGAACACCACAAAAAGTCTGTTTCCGTGCGCATATCTAGTACGGCGTCACTCAACTACGAGCTGGCTACAACGAGCACTGCGCGCGGAGTCACTTTGAAATTCCACCTGCAGCGGTCGAGGTACTGCGGTAACAAATACGCGGTGATGAGGTACATCGCGTTTGAGGCAAGGGAGATGCCCTTTTCGACGACCCTTCGTGCGCGAGGATACGCTTCTGGATACGGCGAGAAAATCGTGAGAAGCGCGCGGAATATCGTCGAGCACAAATCCGTTCGGTTCGCGACGCGCCGCGTTCTACACAACTAGACGCGAAATCTATCGAAGCCGCGAGAATCGCAATCGTGGCGAAATCGCAATCTCGAGACTATCGATTGCTATCGATCGTTGCGATCGTGACGCCACGCGGCGAGGAATGCAGGACTGCGCTGCACTACCAGCACTATCTGCACTACCAGGTACCACTTTATTACGTTTCCAGTTGACGAGTTGACCACAGTTGACTGAGAACGCTCCGGTAGTTCGGTGTGCTTGGACGCTTTGATTTCGCGACAAGTTTTTTTGAATTTGTTTTTCTCGGTTGTCAAGAAGGATATTTGTGTGAAAATGGATAACGAGAAGAATACTATGATCGCTGTTTTGCAGCTTTTGAAGAAGTACAATTTAAAGGTAAGTCAAAAAATCCCAAGATATCCCCTCACCGCCAAAAACGCGCGTCCTAACCTACATTCGTCAGTGTTATTGAGTAATTTAATAAATACATATAAATCTTTTCACACGCCGTAATTAGAAACAAATGCCAATGAATGTTTGTTGTTTTACGTTTTCTTTTTAGGGAACCGAGGAGTTGTTTAGAAAAGAAGCCAATCTCACCGACATCTCACTTGACGACGCTCAGCAATCTGATTCTGATGTGACCAGCGTTCTTTCCGCTTACAAAAGCGAGGGAGATCCTGCACAATACGAGAAAGCGTACAGCGAATTGAAAAAGTTTGTGGAAGGAGCTTTGGATATTTATAAGGTAAGCCAAAGTTACCGCACACAAACAAGTATTTTGTGTCGAGTGACAGTATATATATTCTTTGAGGTATATGTCATTATGTAAAATGATGATTTATTATATATATAATATATAATAAATAATATATAAACCTGTATTATATGATATTATATATGTTGTATACAAAACACAGCACGAGTTGGGAACCATACTATATCCAGTATTGGTACACATGTATCTGGAATTGGTTTACAATAATCATTCCAAAGAGGCGAAACAACTCATGGAAAAGTTCAGTGGGAACTTAGAAGATTATTATCAGGATGACTTGAAGAGATTGTGCAATGTAACAAAACGGGAGCAAATGGCAGGGAATGAATTAACAGACACTTTCAAGTAAGCATAGAGACGTACGATTATATGATTAATGTTGTGTTAAACGTATTATCATCTAATACATAATATCTGACATCTACTTGCAGATCAAATCAGTTTATAATCAGAATGTCGAGGGATACCCTTTCGATACTGAAACGACATTTGCAAGAAAAGAAATATAGTGTCTTATTAAATATCATACAGGAGCATCTTTACTTTGACATGTATGAGGGCGTTGCTCGCAATAAGCAGCAGATAGAAGCAACGTCTGGGGCTATGGTAGGCGAAGCTACCAGGCAAGGTAATAAAATGGTTTTGTATCTCAAGGAGAATTATTTTGTTTTTTTTTAATGGTTCATTGAAAAAAAATTAACAAAATTGTTAAAATGCAGATAACAAGACCAAAGTCTATTACGGGCTTTTAAAGGAGCCTGATATTCAGTGTGTGGAGCCAAACAAAGAAGAGGAAGATGATACAGGTGGCGGAGACGGAGATAAACCAAAGAAGAAAAAGGCTAAGAAGGATCCGTTATTTTCAAAGAAGACGAAATCCGACCCGAATGCACCACCTGTTGGCAGAATGCCGTTGCCCAATTTGTAAGATGAATATATTGTCTCATCAAATAAATAAATTGATGCTAGTAAACGTAGTTAACTCACATCAACGTTTGAATAATGGCCAGCAAATATTCATAATTGTTGATGAGAGCCAGTCGCCCATAGCTGGGCAGTTTTGTCATTCGAGGCACTTGCAAAGTAATAACCGTGCGGCGAGAATGAAATTTTTTAGCGATCTTTTAATGATTTGTTTATATCGGCATTAAAGAATCGACAGGATATGTTGCTTCTGTGTCTTTCACACAACTTACATATTTTCAATTTAGGAAAGATGCGGATAAGCTAGAAAAAATCAAGGCACTGAGGGAAGCGTCAAAGAGAGTTGTCCTCGGACCTGACACATTACCATCTATATGTTTTTACACAATGTTAAACACCCTTTATACGTAAGTGCATAAAATCAAATTTTTCTCATTAAAATTCACTTGCAAGTCTTCTTTTGTCGTGTTTAATAAATATAAATCGTCATTTTTTTTATTAGTGTAACAGCGGCAGAAGTAGCGGAAGACTCAAGTCTATTAGCTACCGGATTTAGTGACTCCGGCATAAAGGTGTGGAGTTTAATCCCACAGAAACTGAGATTGATGAAAACGGGTGAACAATTACAAGAGATTAATAGGGAAGCAGGTACGTGGCAGGCAATATATAAAATCAAGATAGAAATCAACTTTCTTAATTTATATTATATAAAGTTGTGTTTTGGAAAACATTACAGACGACGTATTGGTTAGAATGATGGATGAACGTACATCCGAAACCGCAAGAAACCTCTATGGTCATAGTGGGCCAATTTACAATCTTTCATTTAGTCCAGATAGAAATCTTCTGCTTTCATCGTCAGAGGACACTACAAGTAAGACATTAATGCAGTAGCATTAAGTTAATTAATGCTTATCTATTACACCTATATGTATTTAAATAATTAAATAATAATGTGTGTATACGGTTATAATTTTAATATATGTATAAAAAATATCTCAATATCTATTATGAGAGGAAATATAATAAAAGTTATTAGCGTAATATAAATTATTTAATTTAGTGTGCTAATGTTATATTAATAATAATTAATGTACTTATATTAGTGTAATATATATATAAAACATTTTATTTATGTAACAATTGATATAATTTGAATTATATCAATTGTTACATGATTTACATTGATTTTTAAAGAAATAATAGATATGATAATTACAATAATTTCGATTGTCCAGTAAGGCTATGGTCATTGCACACATGGACATGTGTCGTCTGTTACAAGGGCCATCTATATCCCGTGTGGTGCGTGAAATTCTCGCCGCACGGTTATTACTTTGCAAGCGCCTCGAATGACAAAACTGCCCGGCTATGGGCGACTGACTCTCATCAACCATTACGAATATTTGCTGGCCATTATTCAGACGTTGATGTGAGTTAACCAGCGTTTACCAGCATCAATTTATTTGCCCGATGAGAGAGCCACGACTGTTATTCCATTATCTTTACAGGTAGTTCAGTTCCATCCAAATTCGAATTATGTCGCGAGCGGTTCGAGCGACATGACCGTGAGATTATGGGACTGCGTGACTGGCAGCCAAGTCCGACTGATGACCGGGCACAAAGGGCCGATTTTTTCCTTGGCCTTCTCGACGGAGGGTCGCTTCTTGGCCTCAGCTGGCGCGGATCACCGTGTGCTCATGTGGGATTTGGCACACGGCCACCTTGTCGCGGCCTTGTCCGGCCATACGGCCAACATTCACTGTCTGTCGTTCAGTCGGGACGGCAATATTTTAGTCTCAGGTACGTTCACCGTCCATCGTAAATTTATGCGGATCAAAGGTGAGAATGTATCGAACGATCACGTGTATCGTGCATTAAAAAATTTATAACCCACGTCATCATTGGCAGGTTCTTTGGATTGTACACTGAAATTATGGGACTTCACGAAGTTAGCGGAGGAGATGAGTTTGGAGGACGTCAACGTTTCGCACAATCCAGACGTGAAAACCAACTCGGAATCTTACCTGCTGCGCACCTTCGCGACGAAGAATACGTCTGTCCTAACGTTACATTTTTCACGTAGAAATTTACTACTGGGCGTCGGCATGTTCGAGTCGACATAATCCGTGAATTTTATCATTACATACATAAGAGAACGCGAAAGTCCATATATGTACAAACTATTTAAATCGATGAAATGTATCATAAAAGTTATTAATAGATTTTTCACATTTATTATTCTCAGTGTGTTGCCATTAATGATTATGATATAACGTACGAGAAATTCTCAATTTCTCTTGATACCCAATGAAGTACGATAAGAGATTCGAAATTACATTTTATTGAGATACTGGTCTTTGAGATGAGCTCGTTTTATTTGTATTTGTAAATTAAATTGCTCTCGATTGACATACTTATTTAGATCCTTATAGGCCTGTTCTTTCAGCTGAATTTCTTGCCATTCATCTTTTCTCGCTATTTTTTTTTTTAATGGACAGAAAAAGAGGAAAAATGAAGATAGAACTGCGCAAGAAGTTTAACTGAACAAAAAAAAAAAACAGACCTATTGTGTGCAAATTGCCGAGTAAGAGGTAGGCCGAGCGTGTGCGGAATGAATACGCGTCGCGATCGATAATCCGCGCGAATTTGTAACGTGTGCGATAGCATGCGATAGCGGGTGAATGGGTGAACGGCAGAATAGTGTTCGATGCCGATGCCAATCTCTCTCTTGCGCGGTAAATGCGGTAATAAGCGCCGACATACGACAGCGATATACGTGTGTGTGTGTGTGTGTGTGTGTGTTTGTGTGCATGTGTGTGATGTGTGTCAGTGTCGCGCAGTGCGACAGTGATTTAAACACACCACGCTGACCACGCCACACACGCGCAGCGCGCACGACCATACACACATACACACACACACACGGAAAGGCCGGTCGGAGCAAAAAAGTCCCATTGACGGAAAAAGGCAGGTAGGAGGGAAATGAGATGTCCGGGCGCGAAGGAAAGTAAGTAGGCGGTTTCTCCGGCGTTCCGGTTTTCACCTGGGCGTTGTCGCCGTCGCTTTTCACTCTCGCTTTCGACGATGGACGAGAACGGTGCGACGAGGTTAGGTGAGTTCGCCGCATATTTGTACTCCTCCCTGGTGACACACGCGGATTCTCGTTTTCCACCTCTTGCGATATTTTCTCTCCCTTTTTCCCGGCTGACTCTGACCTTTACATATCGCGTCTATACTCACAGCTGCGGACAGCTACGAGATGGTTAAGGCCATGTACGACTTCAAGGCCACGTTCGCCAAGACTCTCAGCTTCCGGGAGGGCGAGTACTTTATCCTGCTGCAGCGTAACGTCAAGCAGAAAAACTGGTGGCAGGTGGTGAACAGAGGGGGACGTCTGGGCTACATACCGTCCAATTACGTTGCCTCCGTGAAGGTACGTGGAACTCGATTCCCAGGAACTTCCGAGTCCTGAGTGTGTGTACGAGTGTATTGTATATATTGTCGACTGATCCGCCAGGCGCAGCCCCAGTTCCTGATCGACTTTCTGGAGGACTGTATACTGACGTTGGAAACGGAAATTAAGAAGGACAGCGAGTCGGTGCAGCCCGACAAGCAGGATCTCCTGGCGAAGCTGACTGAACGGAAGGCACAGGTCGAGCTGAGCAAAAAGTCCAAGAGACAAGCGCCTAAACCACCGGAGTTGGACTGCGGCATTTTACCTAGGGAGACGCATTCCGCGATTGCTTGCGACAATACAGAAGCTGACGTCAAGTCGGCGCCGAGCAACACCTCCTACGCGACGGCGCAGACGACCCTTCGCGGCAATAACGTAGACCACATTCCGGCGGTTGCGCAACGGGTAAACGGCGACGAGCAACGTGTGCAGTCGCTCCCGCGTCAATCGTCTTCGGACATCGTTCAGAAGGCCCAGGCGTCGGTCAGCGACGTTCGTAAGAGCGCCTCGCAAGGTAGCATACAAAATCTGAGCGGCGTCTCGCCGATCAAAAGCAATAGCTCGCCCGTTAAGCAGAACAGCTCGCCGATCAAGAGAGAGAGCAATACTCTGCAAGCGATTAATTCGCGGAGCGCTTACCAACTGCTCGATCAAGTGCGCAAAAACACTCAGCTCAGTCACGAGATGTCCAAGGTGGCGGTCACGGTCGTGGTGTCTAGCCTGCGGCAGTTGCTGCCGGAAACTGTAAGTCATTATCTCGACGCTCTGCTGCATCAGCTGCAGACACCGTTGACCGTGTCGAAAATGAGTATAGAAGAAACTTACGATGCTAATAGATTGAAAATTATATTCACCGAGCTGACTTCGTGCAAGGAAGATTCGCAGCAAAGGAGTTGGATGCTTTATGAAGATGAATCCATCATCGTGGAATATATTAAAGAATTGACCGAAATATTGGTAAGTTTTTGTTTTATGAAACTATAACTTGCCATTCTGTCGACGTTACATGTTTAGCATTAAACTTGACTCTTAATAGTTAATATTGTATAAGCTTGTTTCTAACTTTTTTAGATTTTTTCCAAATTTATATGAATACATTTAAAAATGTGTGATCTGTGTTTTTATTATAATATATATATATACATATATGATATGATTGTCAATACTAAAAATGTGATTGATTTAATTATTTAACTGTAAATATGATTTACTTAGTTTTATTATTATATGAAATAATTAATATTCATGCATATATTTTTTTTTTTCAGACTAATGCCGACGCAAATGTATCCAGACACGTTTTAAAGCAAGATAGATACAATGGCGTAACAATATTAATACAGTATTATCAGATGGAGGCGAGATGGACCATTAGACAACTGTTGTTGCAATCATTTGGCGTTATGTGCAGTTTAGATCCAGTGGTTCTAACTATAATGTTAAATAGTATCTTACCAATGGAACTAGCGAGGTATTACGAGTTAAAACATTTAATATAATGAAGTATACAATATTTAAATAATAACGAAAATTCTTATTTTCGCAGGGATATGAAGAGTAATCCCAGGAATGTATTAAGATTAAATTATTCGTCGTTATTACTTACAATGATTTTTTCAATGGGTGAACCCATGCCAGTTACGCATTTAGGTAAGTAAAATAAAGCATCGATATTATTGAAAATATAGATTAAAATGTATATTTTTTATTAATTGTTTCTTGTTTTTTTACAGAACAACTTGGTTCAGATTTTATATCGTTCCTGCTGGACCTAATAGAAACACCACCCGATACAGATCTGGAAGATCAAATCCCAGACTTGTTTATAAATTTGATATTGTCCTACAATTTACAATTTACATCTTCTGAGAATATCGTGCTAAACGCTTTACGTGAGCGGACAGTGGCCAAGACCTTCACTGAAAAGATTTTATTTCTCCTCAACAGAGAAGGTAAATTTTATAGGCAAATAATATGTATGTCAGAGAAATGACTCGAGCTGACGAACTTTTAACTTAACGCAGAGGATCCGGTACGAATATTTGATCACGAGCCACAACCGCCGCATTCTGTGTTGAAACTATTTGTCGACTTGTTCAGTAATGATGCCATAGCGAGTCTCTTTTACACCAACGACGTGAAAGTTCTTATTGACATTATACTACGTCAACTGTTCGATATGTTCCCGGGTGATAAGGTATTATGTCATATTGTGATAAAAAAAATTCACATTGGACTTGTCACAACAATTTTATATGTATATCTAATATACATCTTCAATATGCAATGACAGCGTAGACAATATCTGGAGCTTTGCCGCCGTGTTCTGCGCACATCCAACTATAATGAGCATCGTCATCGATCTGGAGATTTATTAAGATGTTTTACAAGGTAAAGATTTAAAATATATACTTTATTTTAACTTAAATATAAGTGTTGAAACTTTCATTACACGTACATTTTGTACTTTGTGTTAGGATATTTTGCGAGGAAACAGTGGAGAGTCACGAAGACCAGCAAGTAGTACGCGAGATTAGCAACGAATTTCCGCACTTGTTCAGATTGTGACAATTAATTCCCTCGTCTGACCAAGATTTGGACGAAGACGATTTGCAAACTCTTGTTTAAAAATAAAGATCTGAGAATTCATCAACGGTAAGGAAGAATCAAATTCATGACAAATTTTGTTGTTAGCCCTTACGGCTTTTTCTATATTTTATCTAGTAAAGGGATACGCACACAGCTTATGAAATAACGTAATATGTTTTACGACTGCCATAAATGTCTTCATTCTGTTGGTGCTATGAGACATCTTTGTGTAAATGAACTATTTAGTAGGATATATGAAATTGCTATCATATATGCGTGAAACATGAAACATAACTAGTTAAAGAGATCCTTTTCATTCTTATTATGAGGACCATTGATATTTAAAAACATTCCAACATTTGCATAATTAAATTATTTAATATAGTTAATATTAATATATAAGTAAAATAATTTATATATAGAGATTATATATATATATATATATATTGAGATAAACTTTAATATAAACACATACAGCTGATACATACATCTCTGTGTGTATTGTTAAAAAAAAGATGGAGAAATTAAAGTAAAATTACTAGTATTATTTCTCCAAATAAAAGTGTAGTCTAGTCCACGTCTATGTGTATGTCAGAACACAATATTCTAAGTCATAGAAATTTATATAAATTCTAGCTTATATCTTAGTTTTCCAAAAGATACCAATATTTTCTTTAAAATATTGTTGAAATATCGTTAGTTTGCAAATGTTTTGATCTAAAATAAAATTTTAGGTAAAAATTCGTTACGGACTTAAT